CTAGCTGGCTGGCTCAGTTGGTTGCTGTCCCACGCACCAAAAGGTTGCAGGTTCCCTTCCCAGTCAGGGCACATACCTAGGTTGTAGGTTCAATATCCAATCATGGTGTGGATAGGATTGATGTTTCTCTTTCACATCCCTCTTTCTCTCTCCCTTTTCTCTCTCTAATGTCAATTAAAAAAATTAATTAATTAAATAAATAAAAATTATAAAAGATGTTTTTGTTGATCTCTTACCCCCTCACCAAAGGACTTGTATGCATGAATATGAGCATTAGCAATAGTCACAGATAGTAGAGGGGTGAGGGCATGTGTTGGGGGATTGGGAGGCCAGGGAGAGGTCAATGGGCGTAAAGGAGACTCATGTAATACTTCAAACAATAAAGAATTTAAATTTAAAAAAAGTTGTTTTCACAGATGACTTTTAAAGACCCTTCAAAATCAAGATCTAAAAAAAGAAAAGCCATAAGCAGTAAATCATATCTACTAAGTATTTTAAGTATAGATCTCTATTGCTATCTAATGGAATTGAATCATAGAGCAATTCCAAATATTATTTTAATACTAATATCAATTTTGTCATCCTTAAAACCTTAATATATCCAACCGCTTAGGTAAGGTAAATAGCATACTCTGTGAACATTAAAATTATGAAATTAACTACTGTCACAAATTCCTTAAAATTCATAGCAAGTGACATTCAAAACTGGTTACAGAACTCAATGACATCTCAAACAGAAAAGCGATTATTTCTACTTCACTGTCACTGAGCCCTATGTATGTAACTAGCGCTGAGAATTTTTTTTTTCACTCAGTTTAAGTAGGAAAATGCCCTGCAGCATGCAGAAGAGCTGGCCCATCATTCCAGATCTCTAAATAGCTTCCTCTTCCCATTAGTTAAAGAGGACTGACACCATGTCACAAGCTCTTACAGAGATTCTTTGATTCAAGGAACTACTTAATGAAATCCCGAATTCATCTCTGAATATAGTGAATCCCAAGTCAGTGAAAAGACTCCAAAATTATAAGGCAGGCAGTAAACTGGCATGAAAAAAATCAACTGTTTTATTTCAGATTCTAGGTCCAAAATGGCAAATCTAGTCACTAAATTAGTCAATATTCTTACTATTCACTGACTTTACATGAAAATAAAATTCTACCATAAGGCTCCTATAACAAAATTCTATGCCACATCTGAAAGCAGAAATACAACAGTGGCAGGGCAAAAATGTAATTATCTATAATAATAATAAAAGTGTAATATGCTAATTAGACTGGATATCCTTCCAGACAAAGCCGGAGCTGCGAGGGACGACTGGGTCCCAGGTGCCTGCCTGTGGCCAGACAGAAGCCCGGGTGCCTGTTGGCGGCCGGAGGAAGCCCGGGTCCCGGGTGCCAGAGGGAAGCCAGGCCTGCAGCCAGGGAAGGAAGGCCTACTCTTGCACAAATTTTGTGCATCGGGCCTCTAGTAAGTATATAAACAGATTTCCACTTCTGACCAAGATGGAATAACTGGAACCAAATTTACCCTTCTTCTGCCTGAAACAACTGTGGGGGGGGGAGGGGGGGAGTAAAAGACAAAGTACAGAAAGCATTTTTTCAAGACAATGGACATCAGGCAACAGAAACGATTTCTGATAGGTGAAAACAAACTGCCCTAGCTTACTTTACTGCCTCGAAAGAACGTCTAGGCCACAGAACAGGGAGCGGGAACCCAAGCAGCACAGTGGTCTCCCTGAGTTGAGGAGACATAATTTAGTCTGGAGTTAGGAAGGTGATGATTATCTACAAGACAGAGTAGTGAGAGAGCGCTACACAACAGATCCAGGGACCCCTCAAGTTTCCAGCTGAGTACTTGTCAGTACATATTTGAGTAAACTACCCACGGACAGTGATAGAACTAACCAGGATTAGAAGGAACACCACCTAAGAGCTCACACAAGTCCAGGAATATTTCTTGTTTCCAAAAGTTAAGAATACTAAGCAGGGCTTTGCCTCAATAGTGCAACAGTGGAACTGCCTAACACAACTTAAAAGCAAGATCTGAAAAGATCAAACTGTTTCCAGGTTAACTGTATCCCAGATGTCTAATGGAATACAAAAGCTCAAGAATGTTTAATGGAATACAAAAATATCCAGCACCCAACAAGGCAAAATTCCAAATGCCTGACATCCAATCAAAAATTACCAAGCATGCAAGAGCAAGAAAACACTATCCATAAAAAGGAAAATTTATCAAAACCAACCCAGAAATGACACAGATTGAATTGTGGACCTGTACATCCAGCCAGTTATACCTGAATTCTACTAGTATATGTTCAAGAAGCTGGAAAAAGACAGAGTATAAAAGCTATAGATGTGGAAGACATTTTTTAAAAGACTGCATTTCTAGAGATAAAACCACATGAAATTAAAAAATATGCTGGATGGGAATAACAGCACATTACACATTAGAGAAAAAAGATCAATGAACTTAAAGACATAGCAATATTATCCAACTGAAACAGAGAAGACTGGGAAAAACGTGAACAGAACATCAGTGAGCATCAAGCAGCCTGATATACATGTAATTGGATTTCCCAAGGAAAAAGGAGAAAAAAATAAAGTGTGTGTGTGTGTGCGTGCTCGAGTGTATAATGGCCAAAACTTTTTCAAATTTGATAAAAACTATAAAATCAAACAGATCCAAGAAGTTCAATGAACTCTAAGCACAAGAAACAAAGAAAAATAAAGATTCATTTACAAAGGGTTCTTACTGGCAAATTCTATTAACCAAATGTCATGTAGAAATTACTTAGACAAAAGCTAACTTTTAGTTTAACTTACCAAGTACAATTTCAACTGACAATTTAATACAGTACATTAAATCAAACAATAATTTAAGTAAAGTGCTTAACAGAAATCTTAATGATTTCAAAATGAGCAAAATATGGCTTTTAAAACGATGTATATTTTATTACCCTGTTGGGTATTGAGTTTGTGTTGATCTTATTTTAGCAAATTATTTTTAAAAAGCTAAAGCATACTTTTTCCCTTAATTTTCTTTTCCTTTAATTAATATAGGTCATTCAGAACAGAATTAGGACACTGTAAAATCTTTTAAAGAAACTGAGAGGTGGAACTGAAAACAGAAGCAGATCTGAGGTTCTCCCTCAAAAACAACTTGGCAACCACTATGTTGGAACACCATTACTTTCAAAATATGCATATATATTTTTAACTGTACTCAAAAGTGGAAACAAGCTAACGTGTTGTTAGCATCTCTGCTAACTATTTAGGACTCCAAAATAAACTAGATTTCTTTTTGGAAAAAGAATCATTTAAATAAAAACTATTAAAGTGGAAAACTTAAGTAATGTATTTTCCTATTTTTGTAAACACACCTATTTTTTTAAGAGGTCAGCATACAAATTCAAATTATTCTGTCTAAAAAAAAAAAAAAAAAGGCCAAAAAGAAACAGGAGAACAAGTTCTAAGGATCTACTGTAATGGCTACCCTTCCTGTCATGTGTGTTCCTTAAAATAGAAGTCAATTTAATTAGTCTACCATTTTGCTTAGGAAATAGTGGGGTATTTCAAAGACAAAAAAAATTGTTCCATAGGAGAGCAGCCAAAAGTATATTTACTAAACCTGGAAATAAGTCATGTCCACATGCTTTTTACCTTTCTTAAGAAAAAAAAAATGTATGTGCACACACATTTAGATAACACACATATTTCTTTGGGTGACTATACAAATAGAACACTTTTGGAAAGCATGTACTACTATGATACTTATGTTGGATCAACACGTACATTAAAAACAGCACGCAAACTCTGAACACACAGACTGAGAAGTTACCACTGGAACAATTTTTAACTTGCTTTTAAATAGAAGAATCTAAAAAAAATAATTTCCAATAAAATACAGAATTGATACCTTCTGTTAGGTTATTAAGTCTAGCAATCGTAGACTTATTCTCTAGTAACATTTATTAATAATGCATGAGATTCTTACATAATAAAAGATTAGAATATTTTTAAATTATAAGTTCCAAACTACTCCTGTAATCAGAGTCTATTCAAGAGAAATAAGGCAAATATCCATTATTTTGAGCACAACTGTAAAATTCAGTTTCAGAGCCTCCACTGATGTACACACAATACACGTAAGCCACAATGATAAAACTGAAGTTTTTATTTCACAGATCCAGCTACCAATATGATTTCAATATCCAATTCCCTTCTCAAAAATGTTCCAACTTAACACATACCAAATATCATAAACATAAAAGACAAAGGAAGATATGCCCACATCATTACCTAGTTGTCATCAAGATTTCGTTACCTGCTCTATTTCAAAACTAGCTCTATTAGCTAAGTGATTCCCCCAAATATTAATCTAATAATTCACACAATAAATCATCTACTCAGATTTAGTAGCATTTAAATTATTTGCTACAGCAACAGTTCCCCCACCAATCAGAACTATTGTTTGAAATTCTTTCTCTCTTCTGCAATCTGTTATTACTTCACTACTTTCAAATTCTGTGACATTTATTTTTAAACACAAAGGTTAATAAACACTTCTGCATCAATTGCACATAACTTCACAGTAAGGGCTTCCTCCCTTCACTCCTCCTCCCCATAGGAAACTCTTCTTATTCTTTTTCTCTCATTTTACCAAATTATCAGAGGGACACAATGTGGCTTGAATTCCAGCATGGAAGACAATTAGGTGCCAATACATGGTTTACGGAATGAAAAACTAAAGTCTCCCAATTTGAATCTCTGGGTTGTGATCAAATAGGCTGGGCATGTCAGATCATCCCTCCTTTCAAGGTCCAATTGTGTTAAGATGCCTGACTTCTTTTTTTCTTTCTTTCTTTTTTTCTGGCCAAAGAATCAAATTAGGAGCTTACATCATAAAAAAAAATCTCTAAAGTTCACAGCATGTAATTTCCCAAAGAACACAAGTTGCCTAGAAAAGGAAAAGAAAAAAAAAAAAAAAAGAACACTTACATGTGGAGCATGACCTGGTTCAAGAACACCCCATCCACCAGAGCCACATATTCCTCCAGGTTGGTCCCGTTTCCTGCAGCCAGCGATCCAAACGTTTTGACCTGGAACAGAAGGATCATCACGGCACGGAGTGCCCACCTCCATCTCTGCGGCCACAGATAATGCAGCAGCAGCAGCAGCAGCAGCAGCCAACGGTGCCAGAGAGAACACCCACTTACCCAAGTGACCAGAGGGCTGCTCATGAACTGCTCCAGGAGGGGAGTAAAAATCTCGTTCTCCATTTTACAGCTCATGTATTTGGGGAAAGAGAAGAAGAAGAAAAAAAAAGAAAAAAAAGGAACCACCACACAAAAAATACGCCTAGGGAGCCGGTCACTACACGTTGCACAAGTAGAAATCAATGAAAGTCTATGCTGGCGCGGAAAGAAAACCCCATCGTGGAGGGGACACACTCTCCCACCTCAAAAAAAAAAAAAAAAAAAAAGGAAAAAAGACACCCCAGGAGGGAAAGGAGCCGAAACCCCGAGAAGCGGTGGCTTCGACAGCAGCCACGAGCCGCGCAGGCAATGCCGTTTCGGGGCGAGGAGGGGCAGGGGAGAGGCATCGGGAGGAGGAGGAGGAGGAGGAGGAAGGGGAAGGGGGCCGGGGCAGCCAGACAAAAAGCCCGTCCAGGTGGCCCGATCCGCCAAGCCGCCCCCAATGAATTAACCGCCAGGCGGGCTACCAGGAGGCACCACGTCGGCTGTCACGGCGAGGGCCGCCGGGCTCGCCCTCCGCGTCGCGCTCAGCAGCACCTTCCACCCACCGGCGCCGCCGCCTCCTCCGGCCGCAGCCCCTCACCAACCGCAGGCAGGGCTCGCCGCTTCCCCGCGAGCACACCCCATCCCTCGGCCGGCCGCCCTCGCGCCTCGCCTCCCGCCCCCTGCCCCTCCCCGCGGGGTGGGGGGCTTGACTGGGGGTGTCTCTCACCCCCCAGGGTGCTGGGCCCCGCCAGCGCCCTCCCTTTTTTATTTCTTTTCCTCTAGCGCGCCTCCGGGAAGCCCTGGCCCCACGCCGCCGCCGCGCTCCCGCCTAGCCTTCCGCCCGGCCCTCCGGAGGAGCGGGAGCGCCGGCCGCAGGACCGCAGTGCCGCATCACACCCGGCCCGCCGCCCGCCGGCCCGCCCAGCCGCCGGCAAGGAGCGCGGCTCCCTCCGCGCCGGATCCTTCCGCCGGCTCCCGCCCCGCCCGCCCGCCCGCGCGCAGCCTCTGGATGTGGGAGAAGAAAAACCGCTGCCTGCGCGCGCCCGCCGCCCGCGCGCCCCCGCCCGCCTGCCCGCCGCCGCCCAGGCCGCGCCCGCGCCCCCGCGCCCCCGCTCCCGCTCCCGCTGCGGCAGCTGCGGGCCGGCGCCGCGCCCGCGCCCCGGATTTGTGCCGGGGTCTGGGGGGCGGGGATGGGGAAGGCGGAGGAAGGGGTCTGTCTGCTCGCTCGTGCCTAATTATGGTGTATTTCCTCCCCGAGCGCCTTCTTTGATGTGTGAAGGGAAGGGAACGAAATTCTCTTTTTTTTTCACCATGAGGGATGCAGACAGCGTTTTTTCGGACAGTTTTGATTTGATCTATGAAGCGTGCTTTTTTTTTTTTTTTTTTTTTTTTTTTTTTTTTTTTTTTTTTTTGCCTGCAACACGGAATGGGGAAACTCACTGCAGCAAATAGCAAGGGGAGGCGCGGGGGGGGGGGGGGGGGGGGGGCGGGCGCGGGCGGATTTGAGCCGCAAACTTTTTAATTTTATTTTATTATTTTATTTTATTTTATTTTTATTCCTTGTGTTTTCTATCCCTTTTTAAAAATCCAGCCCACGAAAGCATGAGGTCTCTGCAGTTGCAAGTGAATGGAGCAGGATTCTTATATAGCCAAAAGCTGTCTTTCAACACGTTGGTATTCCCAGACGGGAGCAAACGTGATTTCAGACGGTTTGTTTGACTAGTGGGCCGTTTAAAAAAAAAAAAAAATCCAAACAAAATTAAGAGCTACTAAGAAGAAACATTTGGAAGTCATCCAAGTTGGGTGACAAATAAATAGATTACATATTTGTCGTCAATCTCTATGCTGTGCACGACTGGAACCATCGAAGTAATTTGAGCAGTTCGCCAGCAAAATCAAATGTTCCTCTTCAAAGGAAAATCAAAAAGACTTTATTTCCCTGAGAGAAAATGGGCATATAAAAAAAATTTTTTTGACAGAGAAAGAGTATAAATATAGAATTGTTTTTGCAGTGTGTACTCTTAACTTGTACACAAATATCTACTTTTGACTACGTATAGGGTATTTTAAATTAGTAGCAAAAAATGGTTTTGTCATAACACTAATTAAGAAGCAGCACCATTTCTTAATTAGGTCATGGAGAGCCTGAGCCTGTCTTCCTACCTAATTCAAACCCAGGCTCTCACACTTACCAGCTGTGGATACCAAGGCAACTTACTGAACCTGCCTGTGGTTTGCTTTCTTCATAATATACAGCAGGAATAATAATTGGGTCAAAAGGAATGGCGATGTACAGTTAGAGCTCCATAAAGGTTGTTGAACTTGTTCTCATCATGACCCCCCTTATCGCCACCCCCAGCCAAATAAAGAATCTTTAGGGGGAAAAAAACAAACTTGAAATGTAACCTCTCCCTACGTTACTTCAGTTATAGAAGAATGGCTCTTGCTTTGAAGAGAAGAGAAATGCTTTTCAATTAATATTCTGATGCATTCGAAGCACACTTTGCTAACTGGTAAAGAGAGTAAAATCTCATATGGCCCTGGCCAGTGCACAAGCCTTGGATCATTCTGGCTGCTAGCAATTATTTCCTTCTCTTCTGGATGACTCTTTCTTAATCACAACCCTTTACTTGGAAATGCAGACCAAGAGAGAGCAGGCACCAAAAAGGAACAGCCTAATGCCTGAGAGGCTCACTTTTCTTTGTAATCCCTCAGAAGCTTGACTAAACAACATGGAAGTGTTCCTGCTTCTAGCGGGGTTTATCTTAAGACAGACCAACCTGCTTCATTCATCCAAGAAAGACCCATACAGTATTGGTACCAAAGTACAAGAAGGCAAGGGCACTTTGGACAGTGATGACTGAAAGGTTAGCACAGGAGTTGTACATGACAATAGCGTTGTTTATCCAGTTTACATTGAGAAGCTAGCCCGCACAGAAATCTGGATTCCCTTCTAAAGCCAGATGGCCCCACATGCTTCCTGGTCTATCTTTAGGTTTTACACACACACACACACACACACACACACTCACTCAACAAAGAAACATGAGGAGTTAATTGTAAAAACAGGAAGCTTTAGACCAGACTGAGGTCTGGAGTAATTTATTTGAAAACCTACCAATTCACAATTCTCTAGTTTAACAGCAGCCTTAGAAATACTTTATAATACCTCAAGAGTACAATCAGGAAACTCCTCCGTCTGGCAAAGAAGGGATTGTACATTTGCACAATTTAATGGTTTTTGAATTGCAACGTCCTGCAAGATTACATTCAAAAGTTTATTCCAATCCTCCTCTCACGTAGGAAGAACTTTCTCCAAGGTAATTTTGTTTTGTACTGAGTAGTCATTTATTTTATCTTTTCTTAGAATGTTAGGTCCGGGAGGAAAGGACTTTTTAAAAATCATACCCATCTGGCTAGGTTCTACATTATTTGCTCTGTTTTATTCTAATCAGAACTTAAATGGTTAGAATGGACCATGATCCCATTTAGGGGTCACAAAAGAAAGATCTCCCTTCCCCATGTATTATAATTGAGGTTCCCACTGCAGGTTACACATACAAAACATTACCCATGTGCAAAAGCACACATGTGTATTCCCATCTTGATCTACACTATGGAAAGTGATAGACTTAACACCAAACCAAGCTCCTTAATGATAAGTATTTGCAAAACTAATCACATCTATTATATAAGCTAGTATGCAAACAACAACTACATCTGCAGAATGGTATCGTCTATATATATAATCTATATATATAAAAGGCTGTGTCTGTCCATCCGACTGGTAGCTATGATGCACAGTGACCATCGGGGGCCAGATGCTCAACGCAGGAGCTGCCATGACAATTTAAAAATAAAGACACAATCACCAACAAACCAACACTCGGCTTCCCCCAAGGGGAACACAAGCCACACCACCACCCTGGAGTGACACCCCACCAAATTGCAGCCAATGTTGCCAAGACCCCAGGGTGCAAAATGCAGCCCACAGCCCAGCCCAGTCTGGAAACAGTCACTGTGGGCCTGGGGTAATGACGTCACATAGCAACGCCCAGCTTCCTTTCCCTAGTGACTAGCCTCCTTGGAGTTTCTTCAGCCCAGGAACCTGATTTGCTTTATAGCCAGGTGCAAACATTTTGAAGTTTAGCCAAATGTTTGTGAAGCATTTTCACGTGCAAGTTTAGCCAAATGTTTGTGAAGCATTTTCACGTGCCTCGTCTCATTTGATCTTCACAGAAGTCCTGGAGTGGGTAGACCGGAGACTCAGTAGAATCCTATTTTCTTTTCATTAGCAAGTCTCAAATAGCAATATTAAAATATGTCTTCTAGTTGATTTCCTTTCAATGTGCATGAATCCACACACTGGGACACTAATTGTTTATAGTACCCCAAAATTGAAATAACTCAAATGCCCATTGACTAATAATAAATAAAATGTGGTGAAGTCATACAATGGGATATTTTTGGCACTCAAAAAGAATGAAGTACCAATACATGCTACACTGTGGATGAACCTTGAAAACATTATGCAAAGTTAAAGAACTCAGTCACAAAGGACCATCTTTGCATGATTCCATTTATATTCAGAGGCTCTTAAAAAGTGCAAGGATATTTGACCTACACTCACAGGTCCCTGACAACTATGTTTTGAATTTTTATTTTACTTGAGTAGGTTTTCTATTTTCTCTCTTGGTTGTTGGTTTTTGCTGCTGACAATGCCTATATCAATAGTCCCCATTCTAACTTACTTTAAATTTACTGTATGCAGGGAATTCGCATATTGTTAAACCAGTCTGAAGGATTTAATAATTTTTTAGTGAGGACCTGATGGCTCTTCCATGAGCAAAGTCCATGAATTGGCAATAGGCCTGAAAGTGTCTTTTGGTGTAATGTTTTTGCTGTCAGTTGCTTGGTCTTAGGTAAGGTGGTGCTATCCCATTTCTTTAACTAGCTTGTTGTGGTATGACATGAAACACTCCTATAAATTAATGGTTACTTACCAGATATTTCCAGAATATGAGTGTCCTATCATGTGA